CCATCCAGGGGGCCAGGCGGGAGAGGACACCGAGAACCATGACGGCAATGGCCCCGGTCTTCATGTTCGAAAGCGAAAGCAGGGCTGTAGGCTGAGATGGGCTGGCTCATGGTCCCTGCAGCTTCCTTCTAGAGATGTCTGAGACAGTGAAGTCTTCCTTTGGCTGGATCTGAGCCTGGGCCTTCTCCGTTCCCCTCGCTTCCACACTCACTCAGACCCACATTGGTTTCGTTTGTAGAAATGATTGAACTCCTCCTAGGAGATGATGAAAATCACTTATCTCATCCTGTCTCTGCCTTTGTGGTGGCTGTCAGTCGGTCAGTTATCCTTTACAATGGCCACTCTCCATTTCCTCCATGTTTGCATGGTTTTGATTTCCTCCGGCTCTTTGATAATATTATTGTATCATGTCTTCAGTGGGGCCCTTCACGCACCTTCTGAGAGTAGGTACGGTAGAGAAAGGAAGCCCACGTTCTCAGCGCTCTGGGCCTGGGCCACAGCTATGGTGTCCCCATGTTAGGTGGGCTTTCTCCATAGGTGCCCAGACAGCCCTGGCCGCTGGCCGCCATGGAGGGCCTTGGTGTTCCCAGTCTCGGAAGAATGGTGTGCCTCTTGCCCACATTTCCGGCCAAGTCGCCAGAGGTGCCTGGCCTGGCGGGGGTCCTGTGCCCGTTCTGGTCTCCCACTGCTAATGTAGCCCAGACTCCACTGGAAAACATGGGCTTAGAGTGGGGACGTGCCCAAAAGGAACAGACAAGTCCTGTCACCAGAGGGGTGAACAGATCTTAGAAGAATACAAACAACTCCTAAGACACGTTTCTCCATGCCCTGTCTGGGGGACTCGTCTACACTGCCTCCTGTCCTGCACAGTGTGCCAGTCCCCCGAATCACAGACCCCAAGACAGACAGACCTGGGCAGGAATTTTAGCCCAGTTTCCTCCCGGTGTGAATCCTCGGGTGCCCCGTCTCTAAATGGGATCAGCGCAGACCCAGCTGTCGGTGGTTACGAGCTGTAGCCCTGGGAGGCCCAGGAAGGGCCGAGTGCGCGCCCCTGGCCCCTGCCTCGGCCTCCCGCGGCCCTATGCACGCGTCCCTGGCACCCCTGCAGGGCCACGCCTGCGTGCCTCTCAGTGACACCCGTGCAGGTCGGAGGCCCAGCCCACGATCGTCTGTGTGAGAGCAAGGTAGCTTCATTTCTCAGAACTCTGCTCCAATTTCAACATCCCAACCGAGCAATATGAACCTACCTTCTGTCAGTGTGAAACAGCCCTTCCGCCTTTTCCCCGGGAGGCCCCAGTGGGGCTTGTCTGTCCTCAGGTGTGGACGGACCTGCCACTCCTGCAACTGCTCCCAGGTTCTCCGTCCTTGCAGGTAGCCATGGAGACGTCCCCGTCTCCAGTCTCCATCGGTGGCCTCTCCTGGACTCCTCTCCCCTCTCTGCTTCCGGGCTACTCAGAGATGACTCCCGCGGCCTTGGCACCTGCCTTGGGGTGCAGAACCTCAGAAGCTTTCTCTGATCTGCCTGCCCACACACTGCCCGGGTGCCCCCTCTTTGGAATCTTGCGGCCTCCCCCGGGGGCAGGGCTCCTCTGTCCCCAGGCCGGATCCCTTCCCCCTGGGTCCGCCAGCGTCCTCCAGCTAGTCCGTCCCCGAAACGTCTGTCTTCCAGCCAGTGTCTTCTAACCAGTCTGGCGGCAGGGTGGCCAGCGTAGGACCTACACTTAGGCATGAGGTTGCAGCTCGCATGTTTTACCCGGTGGAAAATCTCTAAGTCCTTTCCATTCTTCGAGGGCCCCGGCTTCTGAAATTCATGAGCCGGGGAGAGACTCTCCCCCTCTGCTCTCCACGATCACATCCCTTATCTTGAGGCAGAGCACACACTGGCTTAACTGCACAAGAGGCGAGGAGCAGGCAGGGAAAAGGCGAGTCTAGGAAGAAAATGGCCCGTATTTTCAGAGCAGGATGCTGGACACACGAGCAAACTCCTTCCTGGAGTGACTGATGTGCCCACCTCTGCCCGCCATGGAACGGAGTGTAGTCTGGGACGCAGCAGGCCCTCCGCAGGTGCTCAGAGACGCACGTTGTCTCGCGCCCACCCTAACCCTAACCCTAACCTAACTCAGAGAGGTGGGGCGACTCCCCTGCCCTCTGTGCCCTGGGTGGCGCAAGGTGGAGCTGGAGGGCACGGCGGCAGGCCCTCGTCGTCGTCAGTGACCTCTCTCTGTTTCACTCCCACCCAGCGTTCGCTGCCTTCCTGCTGGTCGCCGGCCTCCTGGATTTCCAGAGGGCCCTGGCACTGTTCGTCCTCACCGGTGTGGTCCTCGCCTTCCTGGCCCACAGCCTGCTGAAGAGGCTGCTGGGGCCCAAACTGCTGAGGTGTTTCAAGCCTCTGGGGCATTGCCGCCTGAACGTCTGGTTTGAGAGGTGAGTGAGCTCATGGCCGCCGGCTGACGCCTCTGAGTCAGCTCCGGCTCGGCACCAGGCCTGGGTGATCAGGGCCTCAGTCCTGATCTGCCCCAGACAGTTCCTGGGCAATGGGGGACATTCCACCGGGGGGGGGGGGGCCCGGGCAGGTGTGGCTGGGTGGCTTCAACGGCCGCAGCCCTCTCTGTGATGGTTTGCCATTTCCGCCTGGTTCTCTGTCCAGTGACAGAACTGAGAACAGGACTCGACAGTTTCCTAAATTCAGGGATTCCAGCCCATCCAGAGAGGCAGGGCCTCTATCAGATGCTTTGGGGCATGTGTGAGACAGCTGCTGGGGCCATGCCTGGGGTCAGACTCAGCAGGCAGGATTGGGGGCCGGGTGGCAGTGAATTTGGGCAGCCCCCAGAGGGTTCTCCTGTAGCCAGCCATGTTCCCGGACAGTTTGGGATCTCCTCATTTTCAAACTGGGTTCCTTAGGGTTCTGGAGACCTGGGAGGTGCCGTAGGGCAGGAGAGAGAAATTGGAGATGGTAATATCAGACCTCCCTCCCCAAATGCCCATTTCAACCAGGAAACCCTATTTCACCTGTTTTATAAACTAAGGTTTGGGGGGTGGGGGAAGCTGGAAAAAAATGTTTCTATGGCTTAAAAAAAATCTGAAGACCCCCCAGTCTATATCAGGACTCCGTTTTGTTGATAAAGAAACTGGTATTCAAAGATCTCCAGTGACTAAGCTATGGAGGTACCACAGACTAATGATTTGAGCCAGCCTATGGATGAACACATTTTTTCATTTTATTTATCAATAAATATATAGTAATAAATAATCATTATTCTTTATAATAGTATCACTTTAAATAAATTAAATAAAATTTAAAGATGAATAAATTAAATAAAATGTGAGTAAAATTTTTAAAATGTATCATTGGGGTACCTGGGTGGCTCAGTTGGTTGAGTGTCCAAGTTGGGCTCAGGTCATGATCTCACGCTTTGTGAGTTTGAGCCCTTCATTGGGCTCTCTGCTGTCAGCACAGAGCCTGCTTCAGATCCTCTGCCCCTCCCCGTGTTATAGTCTCTCTGTCAAAAATAAATAAATCTTAAAAAAATAAAATAAAAAATTTATCCTTTTTTTTTTTAATTTTTTTTTTTTCAACG